TTATCAGACATTTCCATGATTTGCATTGAACTGCTTGTGGATGAAGAGGAGTTATTCTTTTCCCTTGGAGGAGAGGTATTTTCTTGCTTTCCCATATTTCTTGTGGTCCTGCAGTGATTTCTTGTCATCTGATGGATGGTGTGTTTCTTTCGAATTCTTGAAGTTCAATCACGCTAGCTTTGTTTGCTGCAGGCTGAATTTTCAGTAGAAAATCTTTATTTCTCCTGTCCCCTGAAATGACTAGTTTGCAGGAGCCATGAGGAATCCTCTTCTGCTATCGACATCTTTTCTAAGAGAGGGATCCAATTTTGGCTCCACTGTTAATTGGCTGGCATCAAGAGGTTAGTTAATCTTTCTTTCTTTTTGGTTCCTCACATGTAAAATGAAAACAATAATTGTATTTATTTCACTTGCTTATCATAAAAAATAAATAATCCATAAGAAGTGATAAGAACAAAGCGTGACCTATATTACTCTATATCAGTTAGCATGACTTTGTAGCTTTCCAAGTGATATATAATAGAGATATATAATGTGGAGATATGGCAACATAATTTGTTTAAAAAAGTATTGAATAAGTATTCCACAAAAGATTATATTCATATGTTCTTATGAACATATGAAAGATAATATCATTAGGAATTGGGGAAATAAAAATTAAACCATAAGATACTACCTCATACAAATAGTGAACATTTTTAAATTGTTACTCATTAACAGTGTGTGGAAACGCTGAAGCTGCCATACATTTCTAGCTGGACTATAAATTAGTAAGATAGTGGCCAAGGGCTAATACAGTGCTCACGTGATTCTGGGTGCACGTGGAAGATGACAGGTTCAGTTCCAGGTCTATCTGTACATTTTGGACACACACCCATGATCCTGGCTCGCCAGTGAGGCTGGGGAGAGGGGAAGAGGGCTAAAAGAGACACTGTTGAGTTTGCTGTCTTTCTCTTTTTCATGAAACAAATATGCTTTAAAAAACTAGTGAAACCATTCTGAAAGCTGTTTGGTGATATCTAATAATACTGAAAAAAATACACACACACACACACACACACATACTAGGACTAAGTATGCGCCCAACAAAAATATGCACCAATAAACAGCAGAAGTAATGTACAAAAACATTCAAAGCAACACTATTCATTAACTAGATGCAAAATTCAAAAAAAATGGATACAATTCAAACATCAACCAAGTACAAAATTGGTAAATGGTGATATGAATTACTGCTACACACAGCATAGTGAACCTCAAAAACATAAGGCTGAGTGAAAAAAATAAAACAGATAAAAACATAACATGTATTCATTTTGTGCACAAAGTTCCAAAATAGACGAGCACTAATCTACAATGATATTAATACAACTGATGATTGCATTGGTAACTGATAATGACCGAATGGAGGCAGAAGGGAAGCCTCGGTGCTGATACTACTCTGTTTCTTAAAGTGAGCAATAATAACATGGTATAACATGTTCACCTTTTAAATATGACTTGATCTGTACACTTAGGATTTGTGTGCTTTTCTGTGTGAATATTGTACTTAGGTAGAGGAGTTTACTTAAAATAGAAAACAATACCGGACTGGAATTCGAACTAGTTAAGGTAACTGAGTTGGTATAGAGGCACTGGAATGAGAAAATGTCAAATATCCTCCCACAGTTTTCAATATGTAGGAATGAGAGGACGCTGCGAGATCAGAGACTCTTTTGTAGTCTCCAAATTTGATTTTCAATCCCCTCTTGGGACCCAGTTGGCGCAGGACTTCTCATCCAGAATCAGTTCAGCTCCCCGCCTCAAAACTTTTCATTGTTTCTGGAGAGTGCAGTTGCTTCTAAACTTAAGAGAACGAAGTCCAAATTTCCTTGGGTTTATTTACATCCAGATCCTCTCACTTCTGCTGTTCTTCCCTTCCCTGAACCTTTAACTTCAGCTTGAACTAATACTTAGATGAATTTTCTCCAGAACGCCACTGATCTTCCTGATTCCAGATCTTTGCCATGACAGTCCCATGGCTTATGAGGTGATTTTCACCCTAATAACTCTTACCTTTGGTTCAAGGTCTATGCCTGTCCTCTTTTCAAAATGTTATCTTCCTTAATTAACAAAGATCACAAAATTATTTTTTTCCACTCAGTAACACCTAAGCCAAAAAAAAAAGTTTGCTTTATTGATCTTTCTGTTTCCTTTTCTTTTCTTTTTATGTTTTTCTTCCTCTGTTTCCTTCCTTCTTCCTTTCTTTTATTCTTTTTTTTAAATTTTCCATGGTTTTACTAGTATATTTAGATATCAAATCTGTCTCCTCACTAAGAGTCTAAGGTCTTTAAATGTAGACATCATATTTTATATTTCTCTCAATCTTCAAGGAGAAGATGGTATAACTAGAAATATCTGTTTTATCTTCTACTAGTTCTTTTTATTATATTTGCATTATTGGTATCAACTTCAATCTATATTTCCTTTATAGAATCATTTTAAGCCACTCATTCACTTCTAAGAGTTAGCTCTGTCCAAACTAGCTAATGTAATTGTAAATAGAATCCACTCTCACTTTTGTTATCAAGATTCCATGACTATCATGAATAACCCTTATAGTGCTAATTCAGTTAAAAAATACACCTATCAATCCAAATACAAAATAACAAAACAGAACCACCATCCATCTGTATTTGACGTATTGGCACATGTTAATTTCTTTCCTACTTCTGTATGAAAGTTCAACATTAAATGTTATTATCCCTAAAAAAGCAATCGTGCTTTGTTTTTCATTTTGCCAGAGGGCATGTGCACTCTCTGGATGAGAAAGCATCCCCCATTGAGAAACACCCCACCACATTGAGAATGGTTACACCACAACTCACTCATCATCACATCCCCCTCCTTTTAGAATTTTAGGCACACACTCACACATGACCAGAGTGTTTTTCAAGCCACTGTGTCTTGGACCCTAACTGCGCATGCAGTCAACCATGTGGGATTCAGTGCCTTAACTACCATGCCACAGGCTGGACCCATCTTGCTAACTCTTAACCTGAGGTTTAATATTTTTTCTTGTAGTTAACTGTACTTTTACGTCTGTCTTTAAGTTTAAAACCATTCTTTTTTGTTTCTGTAATTGGAAGTTTTGAGATAACAGTCAATTGATTGACTATCCAAAGCCATGTGGTTATGTTCTTCCAGCAGCCCAAGACATGCTAATATAAATCAGACTCTGAGAGGCTGGCGTGAAACAGTAGCGGGCAGAGTAGTCAAGACCTGGGTTGTATTGCAGTCCAGTGCACCCTCTTACTAACCATGTATTCTGAAATAAGTTATTTTCAGCTTCAATATCCACATTAATAATGCCTGCTTCTCAGGTTCATGAGAATTATATAAACTAACGTGAGTGAAGTGCCTGGCATATACTAGATGCTTTATAAATGCTAGCTGTTAGCACTGTTATTATCATATTTATTATTAAACACCTCATAGGGATAAGGAGTGTTCTCTTGCTTTTTCACTTATTTATCAGAGCTGCATAACTGTACCATCTACTTCTCCCTTCCTTGCCAATAGGCTTTTCTTTAAAGTATGAATTTGTAAAATAAAATTAAATAGGCAATTTTCTTGAAACACCTTGCAGGTTCAATTTTGCAAGGAGCAGAGAAGTCCATATCTCTGGTTAAAGGTGGGAGGAGTGAATATGCAGCTGCTTTGGCATGGGAGAAAGGGAGCCCTGATCCAGAGCAGAAGGCGTTTTCTGAGTGGCTAGAATCAGTGAAGGAAAATCCCGTGGTGATTGACTTTAAGGTAAGATTGAAAAGCATTACAGGTAAGAAAGTAAAGTAGTTCTCTAGCATCCTGAATTGCACACTATACAATTTCTTTTCTTTTCCCCTCAAATAATAAAGGAAATGTCTTTCATAAGTATGCACGAGGTAACTTTTTAAAAATGTTGAATTATACATCCATTTGCTTTTGCTACTCAAATGAGTGGGGCAGTTTTTAGAACCTATCCTGCAGGAAATACCAGGAAAGGGGATATACAGAATAAAACTCCTCAAACTTGGCTTGAATAGTGTTCTTCCCTTCCTCATGCATACCAAATAATAATAATAACAATAGTAATAAAAATAACTTTTTTCTTGCAGTTATTTATTTGATAAGCACTCCTAAATTTTCATTTATGTGGGATAAAGGAAATTTTAGACCCATTTGATTTCCTGTTTCTTTTTTTTTAATAATTTTATGTAACTTTATTTGTTTTAATTTGATCAGAGAGGGAGAGAGAGAAAGAGAGAGAGAGAGAACAAGCAAGCTGCTAGGTCCAGTATTTGAGTCGCCGGCAGCTATGTGGGAGTCCAGCACCCCTAACCACCACGCCACCTGCCGGCCCCCTGATTTCCTGTTTCTATCACCATTGATTTAATTTTCTACTTTTGTGTCTGTTGTAATTACATAGTGAGGTAACTTTTTCATTTATGGAATACTTTGCTCACATATCAATCATACACCATTTAAAAGTAGTTTTGCCAAAAAATGTAACCAAATAAAAAATGAAGCTACCATGTTCATTTTATTTAAATGAACACAGATGAGATCAATCATTATGAAAATGGAATCATTTATGACAGGGTGAAAATACATTGAACTCTACAGGTTATCGTAGGAAAGACCTGGAAGCCCTTCTGGGCCCTTGGGAGTCTACACTGCACTGGGCAGTCATTTTTGGAGGTTTTAAAATGTTAATAAAATGAACTTGATTTATTGTTAGTGCCATCATTTTGGTACTGTAATTATTCATCAGCCCTACAGGCAAGGAAATTTCTCTGTTATCTCTTCCTCCTTACTTTCTCATCTGACTCTTTCAAAAGTTAGTACAGTTCCTGGAAAAAAAAAAAAAAAAGAACATGGAACTCCTCTCATCATCCTCCCTAGAATTTTTCTCTTTCAATTAAACTTAAAGAGATTTCATCAGAAGATTAAGAAGATGTCCAACCATTGGTCATCTAGCTCAGTACTTTTACACAAGCACTGGATGCTTAATAAATAATATGGTGTAAGTCCAAGTACGTAGCATCTCACGGTAGAATTGCAGAGAAAGTTTGTTCCAGACATACCTGTGCCCAGGGAGAGGGCTTTTCTCCACTGGTTCAGTAGGCAGCTATGCTGCATTCCACGATAATCCCTTTGAAGTGTGTGTCCAAGACTTGCCTTTCATTCCATGAAAACTGGACCATGGTGGCAACGTATTGCTAAGGTGAGTGTGACTGGATTGTGTCTTTCCCCTCTGTCCCAGCTTGCTCCCATTGTGGACTTGGTAAGAAACATCCCCTGTGCCGTGACAAAACGGAACAACCTCAGGAAAGCTTTTCAAGAATATGCAGCCAAGTTTGATCCTTGTCGGTGCGCACCATGCCCTAATAATGCCCGCCCCAGGCTCTCAGGGACAGAGTGCCTGTGTGTGTGCCAAAGTGGCACCTATGGCGAGAACTGTGAGAGACGGTCTCCAGATTATAAATCTAGTAAGTATCAGTAACTGACTGTGAGGTAGGCATCTTCTCTCTCCTAAAAATATTCTAGGTTGGTCAACTCAAAGAGGACAGTTTAAAATATATAGTAGTGATTAATAGAGGCTGGGAAAGGTATGAGGGGAAAGGCACATAAAGAGATATTGGTTGACTATGATAAAATTATAGTTAAAATTACAGTAGGATAACTATAAATAATGACAATTTAATGTTTAACATGATGAATATGAATGTCCTTAACATAAAGATGTTCATATTTGCCTATGTATGTGTGCATTTTTTATATATATGTATGTGTGTGTGTATGAAGCATCTTCAAATATTTATAGAAAGGTGTATTATGAAAAAACTATGCATAGATTTCAAAAATGTTTACACCAAAATAAACATGTACTTTTATTCCACTTTCCAGAAACTTTTCGAGGTCTCCTTGTATCTACGCACACATATGTATATATGTTTGTTGTGTATCTGTGTACCTAATGAATATAATTATCTTATTTATAATTTGTATATTAACTTACAGTATGTTAAATATGTATAATTTGATAAATTATACATGCACATTTATAAACTTGCTGATAGTATATAATGATTCCTACTTGTTACATGTAATTCAAGCTTCTGGAAACAGGAAAGGGAAGTCAGGCAATGTATCAGACCCTTCCTGTAGTTTCTTTTAATCTTCAGAATAATATTATAATGTGCCACAAAGGCGATCGCACAGTTAAAAAGTGAGCAAACCAGGTTGGCCTGTCTCAATAGCCCAGATTCTCTCAGACACGCAGTAGGTTGGTTTTCCTCTATTACAGATGCAGTAGATGGGAACTGGGGTTGCTGGTCTTCCTGGACTGCATGTGACACTACTTATAAGAGATCAAGGACTCGGGAATGCAATAACCCTGCCCCTCAACAAGGAGGAAAACCCTGTGAGGGACAGAAGCGGCAAGAGGAGGACTGCACATTTTCAATAATGGAAAATGAGTAAGGCTGCTTTTGGGGAAAAATGGGTCATTTCGCCCACAAACATAGAGTTCAGAAATTCATTAACCTTTGCTAAAGAAACTATCAGAATGTCACCTCTGCCAGTGCAGCATGTTAGTGAAGCATTGGATTGGCTCCTAGCCCTTTTTTTCGTATGTAATGTTTTCTCTCTATTTAGTACATATGTGTGTATGTAGTGTGTATAGGCACACCCATATATGCATATACATATATACATAAGATGTGTATGTGTTTATGTATATATATATATACACACACACATTTTTTTTCTCTTCTAGTGGACAACCATGTATCAATGATGATGAGGAAATTAAAGAAGTAGATCTTCCTGAGATAGAGACAGATTCAGGGTGTTATCGTCCTGATCCTCCAGAAAATGGTTTTATCCGGGTAAGAATCCTGACCTTCACTGTTGGCTTGGAGTTAAAAAAAAAATAGTTTGAAAAATGTAGATTTTTTTCTTTTAGAGTTTTTATTTTCTATTTTAATAATCTCCTATTTAAAAATACAAAATAATATTTAGAAATGCTTTGCCACTCTTCTATCTTTAATTCCTGGAGATGCTTTCACACTTCATTGTTATACCAAAGGATGCAAGTTGCTGTGTTCCTTGGTACTACTTAGTTTGTATGATGATGATATATTTATTTATGTCAATAGAGAGTGGGACTTCAGAAAAAAATAGATTTGGATGACTTGTAGGAATATGCAACTAAAATCTGGCTATTTATTTTTAAATCATAGCAAACTAATGCCCTCATCTGCATATTAACAGAAAGACAAACTAGACTTGGCCATAATCAGAAAAGTTGATTGGTCTGTATTGTTTTATTATAGGTTAAAAACCCACAGAACTTGGGCGAGGTCCATGGACTGATAGAAGTCATGTGGGTCTCATATGTGATTGCTGGTCTCATGTGCTGATTGCACAGATTGAGTCCCAGACCGAGCAGTTTGAGAAATATGCCAGGTGTATGTGTATGTGCCTGCTCAAAATCCTGGAAGGAGAAAAAGGTGGAGGAGAAGGGATTGTATATATATATATAAGATGTGTGTGTGTGTATATATATGTATATATATATATATATATACACACACACATTTTTTTTCTCTTCTAGTGGACAACCATGTATCAATGATGATGAGGAAATTAAAGAAGTAGATCTTCCTGAGATAGAGACAGATTCAGGGTGTTATCGTCCTGATCCTCCAGAAAATGGTTTTATCCGGGTAAGAATCCTGACCTTCACTGTTGGCTTGGAGTTAAAAAAAAAATAGTTTGAAAAATGTAGATTTTTTTCTTTTAGAGTTTTTATTTTCTATTTTAATAATCTCCTATTTAAAAATACAAAATAATATTTAGAAATGCTTTGCCACTCTTCTATCTTTAATTCCTGGAGATGCTTTCACACTTCATTGTTATACCAAAGGATAGCAAGTTGCTGTGTTCCTTGGTACTACTTAGTTTGTATGATGATGATATATTTATTTATGTCAATAGAGAGTGGGACTTCAGAAAAAAATAGATTTGGATGACTTGTAGGAATATGCAACTAAAATCTGGCTATTTATTTTTAAATCATAGCAAACTAATGCCCTCATCTGCATATTAACAGAAAGACAAACTAGACTTGGCCATAATCAGAAAAGTTGATTGGTCTGTATTGTTTTATTATAGGTTAAAAACCCACAGAACTTGGGCGAGGTCCATGGACTGATAGAAGTCATGTGGGTCTCATATGTGATTGCTGGTCTCATGTGCTGATTGCACAGATTGAGTCCCAGACCGAGCAGTTTGAGAAATATGCCAGGTGTATGTGTATGTGCCTGCTCAAAATCCTGGAAGGAGAAAAAGGTGGAGGAGAAGGGATTGTGGCATGGCCATTCCCCATGAAAGAGAGTGCTTTTTCCTCCTCCCCGGCTCTCTCTGGGGAGTATGCATGCCCTCTAGCAAAGATTATATATATATATATATATATATAAAATGTCTCACTGGGGAGACAGAGAGAGACAGAAAGACAGAAAGAGAAATTATCCTTCGCGAAATCATCCTTCGCCCGCAGAGAGATGGCCATGCCACAATCCCTTCTCCTCCGTTCTTCTTTTGGGATCTTGGGCACGCACGTACATGTGCCCAGCATGAGTTTAAGCCACCAGGTCTGTGGACTTGAACCATGGTCAACTACATGGGAATCCAGTAATAGGGCCATTATACCATCTACTGGTCCCAGTAATCATAACTTTAATGTACCTTTACATTTTATCTTATTTCATTAAGCAATATTATGTTTCCATGATTTAAAAAATGAATACTTTTCATCAGATGGGTCTTTGGCTTTCTATGTAAATGTTTAAGGAGATACATAATATTTAAGACACAGGGCATGCTTTCTTTTTCATTTTATCTTTCTTCAACTCAATATAATTTTTATATTAATCTTTTGCCATCTGTATCATTTTTATCATATTTATGATAAATGATTCTCTAAGGTCAGTAAATATCCACAGAGCATAGTCTGGGCTAACGTATCTTCCATATTCACTTGTCTTCTGCTAATGTATAAAGCACCATGCCTAAGGGTTTTACGGAGGAGGAATATTTCATAATTCCAATTAGTCTTTACTTGGGAACAGAGGTTCTCAAACTCAATAATGCAATGGAGGGCTTGTTGAAACACACATTACTAGGTCCCAGTTCTAGACTTTTTGATTCAATAGGTCTTGTGCAGGACCCAGATATGTTCTTATCTAACATGTTCCCACGTAATACAGGTGTTGCTAATTCAGGAGCCACACTGTAGGAACTAATTCTTTACAACATGGCTTAGCAAACTATGGCCCAAATCTGGCTTGCCAACTTTTTTCAATAAAACTTTTTTGGAACACAGCCACATTCACTTGTTTACATATTGTACAAGAGGTCTTCAAAAAGTCCACAAAACTATGCGGATTATGAAAAAACTATTCATGAACTTTTTTTCCACCACAATAAATTTATACTTTAATTCCATTTTCTGCAAACTTTTTAAAGTCCTCTCATATATTCCTACTTTCAAATAATAAAGACACAGATGAGTAACTGTGATGGACTCCTGATAGCCTATAAAAAGTGACAAATAGGGCCAGCAGGTGGCATGGAGGTTAAGGAAGCTGGATCTCACATGACCAACTTAGTCCCAGACTGAGCAGCCTGAAAGATCACCCTGGCTCATGTACATGCACGCCCAAAATCCTGAGAGAAGAAAGGAGAAGGTATATAAGGGAAATGCATCAGGACATTGGTCTGGGCACAGATTTTTAGATAAAACCTCAAAAACCTGGATAAAAAAATAAAAAATAGATAAATGAAATTATATCAGACTAAAAAGCTCCCATACAACAAATAAAACAATCAACAGCATAAAAAGAGAGTGTATAGAATGGCAAAAATATCTGCAAGCTATATTTTCAACAAAGAATATCACAATATACAAGGAACTTAAGCAACTCAAATAATTAGCTTAAGAAATGGGCAATCAATCCAAACAAACAGTTCTTAAAAGAATCATAAAACTGGGAAAATTGGGAACCAGCAGTTAGCATAATGGCTATGTCGCTGGACTCCCATGTAGTCAACCATGGTTGGCGTCCCAGACCCGGTGGCTTAAAACGCATGCTGGGTGCGTGTGCATGCGTGCCCAAGATCCCGAAAGGAGAATGGAGGAGAAGGGATTGCGGCGTGACCATCCCCCCAGGGGATGATTTCTCGCTTTCTGTCTCTTTGTGTCTCTCTGTCTGGTGAGCGCACGCGCCATGTAGCGAAAACCTCTCCAAAAAAAAAAAAAAAAAGAATCATAAAATTAACCAAGAGGAATATGGGAAAATGCTCAACATAACTAATTATCAGGAAAATGCAAATCAAAAACACAAAGTGGTATCACTTTATCCAAGTTAGAATGACTATTATCCAAAAAATTAAAAAGACAAGGCAGATAAGGATGTGGAGAAAATAAATTTTTACTGCAATTGTTCTGGAACTGTAAATTGGCATAGCCATTGTACAAGACAGTGTGGAAGCCCCTCAAAAAACTAAAAAGAGAACTGTCAGATAATCCAGCAATCCCAGTCCAAGGTGTATATACAAAGAAAAGGAGATCTATATGCTAGAGATATCTGCACTCCAGTGTTTATTGTTGCATTATTCACAATAGCCAAGAAAGAGAACAATCTAAGTGTTCATTAACAAGAAAGAAGAAATTGATGTGTATATATACAATGGAATACTACTCAGTCATTTAAAAGGATGACATTCTGTCATTTCAGGTAACATGAACAAAGGGATATTATATTAAGCAAAATAATATGGGCATACAAAGAAGAATTTCACCAGTTTCCAGTAATATATGGAAACTAAAAAGAATGAACCCAAGAAATAGTGTGTAAAGCAGTGATTACTTGATGCTGGGAAAGGTGGTAGGGAGGGGAATGCATAGAAAAATGCTGGTTAGTGGGTACAAAATTACAGCTAGGTAAGGAACAAGTTCTAGTATTATATAGCACAGTGGGCTAAGTTTAGTTAACAGCAATTTATTGTATATTTCAGATTTGCTAAAAGAAAATATTTTAAATATTCCTAATACAAAGGAATGACAAATTTCTAAGATGATGGATGTACTAATTACCCTTATTTGATTGTTACACATAGTATTTACATACTGAAAAATCACACTGTATCCCATAAATATATGCAATTATTTTGTGCCAGTTTTTAAAACTGCATGTCAGATACAGATGCCTAAATAAGTTTTAATCTATTTATGCCAGCTACTTACAAAAACCATTAAAATTGACATTCTAATTTTTTAAAACATTAAAGGCTTTTAAACAATGATTTCTATTCTTATGACTTTTTTACAGTCTTTTATATAAAATTAGATTAATGTTTCCATTTTCATGAATAAATTCACCATGTTTTATTTCGCTCTTTATTAAATGTCTGATCTCTATCTACCAATAGTTTTTACTCAAATGTTATACAATTTTGCTTTTTCTAATGAGTATTGTCTGGAATTTCTAGTAGCAAAATGTCCTTTGCATGGAATCAAGCAAAAGCAAATGTACCTAATTCCACACCACAGCGATCATATTATTGCACATGAAAATATCCGTTTAATGATTAAGACACATGTCCTAGTCAAGTAGGCTTCCATGTTCCATCAGTCTAGCAGATGTGTTAGTTTAAGTTTGAAAGTTGCAGCATAGCTTAGAGCAGATAACATTGTATAAAAAAATGGAAACAAAAGTTTAAGATAATAACTTATTTCATGAGGAACAAAAGAAAGAAGTGTGTAGCCTTTGTATAAAACATTGTAACCATTACTACTATTCATCAGTCAACTTCCCTGGAAATATAGCCACACCAGTCATAACCAGTAGGAAGATATTTTAGGTAGCATATTCTAGGAAACAACTTTACTCATTGCACAAGCAATAACAAAAGTTGGTGATTGAGCTTTATCCTCCTCAAAATTCTCAACTTTAATTCTCAGAATAACTCTCTCATCAATTCCTGCTAGTCTGCTCTCAGTACAGGAAGATAGTGTTACATCAATATCTCCCTAGGAAAGATAGTGTTTCACATTCTTTCAGCAAATAGTTATTAAAGCCTGTGTAAAGATTTGTGAGAATGAGAGCTGGTTATAAAGTTACCACTCAAGGTCAAAAACAGGACTGATATATGTGGTAAACTATAAAAATAGAGCTTTATACAAGTTTCTCCAGAACTGAAAGGATGGTACACCAAATAAAAATCAAGAAGTTTCCACAGAGGATTTCCTGAGAATTGAGTAAAATTTTTCATGATTTTTAGTAATAATAACAGCATATAGGTTTGTTATATATGCAGGCTGTATCATTGGTTCAGTTTATAGCCACTACATCATAAGTATGCTGTTTTTCTGCTCTAATATTAGGCCATCCCATTTATAGTGGAGAGCAAGTTTTTAAGAAAAAAATATCTAAACAATTTAGAACAGCAGTATGGAAGATGAATTATTATGATTAGTTCAAAGTTGTCCTGGTAAAAAATAACAAATGCTAGAGGCCAGTTTCTGGTGTAGTGATTAAGGTGACTGGATCCCACATGGCCATTGCACAGTTCAAATCCCAGACCCAGCAGCTTGAAAAATATGCCAAGCACATGTGCATGTGCACCCAAAATTCTAAGAGGAGAATAGAGAGAAGAGAACGCAGTGTGGCCATCCCCTCTCCAAGTGATTTCTCTCTCTCTCTCTCTGGTGAGTGCACCTGCTCTATGGCAAACTAATAATAATAATAATAATAATAATAATAAAATGAAAGAACAAATGCCATGAAGAAAGACAGCAATGATAAGAAAGGAAGAACTTGGAGAGATAATCAGATGTAGAAATGTGAGGGAGTAGGTACAGGAGTAAAGGAATAGAAGGAATACAAGTAACCTTGCGGTATTTAGAGATTACTATTCAGAGCACTAATAATTTACTTGCTTTAATTCTAGAATGAAAAGAAACTGTACTCAGTTGGGGAAGAAATTGAAATTGCATGCCTTACTGGATTCAAAGCTGTTGGATACCAGTACTTCAGATGCTTACCAGACAGAACCTGGAGGCAAGGGGATGTGGAATGCCAACGTGAGAATGGGGCAGACATGTTCTGTGACTACTTTACAGGGTGAATGTGGCCAATAGAGAGTGAAATCACATCCTTAGACCAGTACAGTTTACTGCTTTTTGGTTACTTTGGGGAAAAGATTCAGTGAAGCAAAACATAGTGCTCATTTGCTAAAATTAGATTTCAAATGCAGTATCTCCATGCTTCAGTTCTCCTGCCCCTGCACGGCAGCCTCATACTGACTGAACTGCAAAGCATGTGTCTAAAAAGAAATTAAGGACATTTGCAAACTGTATCTAACCACAGACATCCGTCTTGCTTTATGTACAAGTGATACAAATTGATGCATTCCCAGATGATATTTATACTCTTGTCTATATCAAAACTGGAGTTTTATGTGGGGTGCAGGTTTCTCCAAGGGACTGTTCCTTGGAGTACATTCACATTCTTTACTGAGAAAGAGTGAACAGCAAGGTAGACGCCATGAGCATTTGTGCTACAGTAAAGAAAAAAAACAGATCAAATAAGGCTCCTATGGAAACCCCAAAGACACATTATGGGGCACTATGAGGCAGGGTTGAGCCCGATGTCCATTATTGCCTCTGCACCACTCACAATGAGGTAACTTACTTTTGGGAAAACCTACCAGGGCAAAGAGAACAAAAACTGTTTCTCAACATGAAAAGGCCCCAGTGATGCAATGAAAGTTGGATGGAGCCAGCTCCTTAGCAAGAGAACTTCAGATCGTGGAACTAAAGAGAGTTTTCGAGAGGAAGAAACTCTGAGTGGAAGCCTGAGATCCTTAACACCTAGATATTCTGATTAAAAGGAGGCTCTGGGAACCAACAGTTAGCGTAATGGTTATGTCGCTGGACTCCCACGTAATCGACCATGGTTCGCGTCCCGGACCCGGTGGCTTAAAACTCACACCGGGCTTGTGTGCGTGCATGCCCAAGATCCCGAGAGGAGAATGGAGGAGAAGGGATTGCGGCGTGACCATCCCCTGTGGGGGGTGATTTCTCGCTTTCTGTCTCTATGTCTCTCTTTCTCTGTCTGGCGAGCGCACGCACCCTGTATCGAAAACCTCTCCAAAAAAAAAAAAAAAAAAAGGAGGCTCCACAACTGAGTGGATGCAGTAAAATATCATTAAAATCACCTCTAGGGTTGCATAAAATCTTCCCACATCTATTGAGTATTCCCCTTCATTAACCACACCGAATGCTGCTCTCCTTGCAGGGGCAGGGTGCCTTAAGCCGGTCGTACAGGAAGGCCTGACACTCTCACCATTCCAGAGAGTATACAGAATTGGTGACTCCATTGAGCTAACCTGCCCCAGTGGCTTCATTGTTTCTGGGCCATCGAGGTACACATGCAGCGGGGATTCTTGGACACCACCTGTTCCAAACTCCCTTACCTGTAAAAAAGGTAAGTACCAGCTCAGGATTCTAGGGTCTGATAAGGTGGTGCATCCACAAGTGGAAATAGATTATAGCAGCATTACTTCTCAAGTGTGTTTTGGGGAGAGAAAGAAGATTTGACTGAAAGGATGGTTATATTTCACGTGTGCAAATAACAAGATCAGGCAATAAATTAGTTATTTACTGGTCAAGTGAATGTCTTCAAATTTTAAAGAGCAAATTCAATTTTCTTTTCCAATGTAAAAACTTGGTATTTAGAGGGAGTGCAAGCTCTCTCATCTTAGAATTGATAGACAGTTGAATTTTTTGGTCAAGGTGGAAGGTCATAAAACAGTTGTACACACATAAGTAAGCATTTTATTTCAATCTAAGACATTAATTTTTTTCTGACATAGGACTAAGATCTTTTATTTCTTAAAGTTTTTCTTGATAAGAAAACACTTCAGGTGAAACAATCTCATTTTCCCTTTGTTTTAATTATTTTTCTTTATTTTAAATTTATTTATATACATTCATTCACTGTACATCATTACACATAGAAAATGAGATTTTCCATCCAGATTCACATTCTTTACTGAGAAAGAGTGAACAGCAAGGTAGACGCCATGAGCATTTGTGCTACAGTAAAGAAAAAAAACAGATCAAATAAGGCTCCTATGGAAACCCCAAAGACACATTATGGGGCACTATGAGGCAGGGTTGAGCCCGATGTCCATTATTGCCTCTGCACCACTCACAATGAGGTAACTTACTTTTGGGAAAACCCACCAGGGCAAAGAGAACAAAAACTGTTTCTCAACATGAAAAGGCCCCAGTGATGCAATGAAAGTTGGATGGAGCCAGCTCCTTAGCAAGAGAACTTCAGATCGTGGAACTAAAGAGAGTTTTCGAGAGGAAGAAACTCTGAGTGGAAGCCTGAGATCCTTAACACCTAGATATTCTGATTAAAAGGAGGCTCTGGGAACCAACAGTTAGCGTAATGGTTATGTCGCTGGACTCCCACGTAATCGACCATGGTTCGCGTCCCGGACCCGGTGGCTTAAAACTCACACCGGGCTTGTGTGCGTGCATGCCCAAGATCCCGAGAGGAGAATGGAGGAGAAGGGATTGCGGCGTGACCATCCCCTGTGGGGGGTGATTTCTCGCTTTCTGTCTCTATGTCTCTCTTTCTCTGTCTGGCGAGCGCACGCACCCTGTATCGAAAACCTCTCCAAAAAAAAAAAAAAAAAAGGAGGCTCCACAACTGAGTGGATGCAGTAAAATATCATTAAAATCACCTCTAGGGTTGCATAAAATCTTCCCACATCTATTGAGTATTCCCCTTCATTAACCACACCGAATGCTGCTCTCCTTGCAGGGGCAGGGTGCCTTAAGCCGGTCGTACAGGAAGGCCTGACACTCTCACCATTCCAGAGAGTATACAGAATTGGTGACTCCATTGAGCTAACCTGCCCCAGTGGCTTCATTGTTTCTGGGCCATCGAGGTACACATGCAGCGGGGATTCTTGGACACCACCTGTTCCAAACTCCCTTACCTGTAAAAAAGGTAAGTACCAGCTCAGGATTCTAGGGTCTGATAAGGTGGTGCATCCACAAGTGGAAATAGATTATAGCAGCATTACTTCTCAAGTGTGTTTTGGGGAGAGAAAGAAGATTTGACTGAAAGGATGGTTATATTTCACGTGTGCAAATAACAAGATCAGGCAATAAATTAGTTATTTACTGGTCAAGTGAATGTCTTCAAATTTTAAAGAGCAAATTCAATTTTCTTTTCCAATGTAAAAACTTGGTATTTAGAGGGAGTGCAAGCTCTCTCATCTTAGAATTGATAGACAGTTGAATTTTTTGGTCAAGGTGGAAGGTCATAAAACAGTTGTACACACATAAGTAAGCATTTTATTTCAATCTAAGACATTAATTTTTTTCTGACATAGGACTAAGATCTTTTATTTCTTAAAGTTTTTCTTGATAAGAAAACACTTCAGGTGAAACAATCTCATTTTCCCTTTGTTTTAATTATTTTTCTTTATTTTAAATTTATTTATATACATTCATTCACTGTACATCATTACACATAGAAAATGAGATTTTCCATCCAGAGTACACTGTATATTGGCTCAATCAAGCACATCAACATATGTATTATTGTCAACAAATAATTTTCCATTTCTTGTTTCCTGTATATTTTGCTTTTTTTTCCCTCCTTGATTCCCTATCTCTCACCCTCTGCCATCTCCCACCCTCCTCCCACACTGTTGCTGGTATCCATGGTTGCTTCCTATGCCTTTTTCCCCACATTTTATTGAGTCACTAAAGATCTTAATAAATCTAAATATTGTTTTATTTTTTATTTATTCGCGTGTATTTTAATTTGCTAGAGGGTGCATGTGCTCACCAGAGAGAAAGGAAGAGAAAGAGAAAGGGCCACCCAAGGGGGATGGTCACGCTGCAGTCCCTTCTCCATTTTTCATTTCAGGATTTGGGGCATGCACATACACACATATGCAGCATGTTTTTCAAGCCACCAGGTCTGAGACAAACTGCAGTCAGCCATGTGATCCAAGTGCCTCAACCACAAGGCCACTGACTGGCCCAACAATCTCATAATTCATCATCTATCTTATCCTGTATCAGTTTTTCTGAAACAGTGGTTTTTAATTCCAGGTGGTGTATTTCTATTTAAAAATCCACATAAACCCCATCCTTCAGATTCTGGTGTCATAGAACTGGGGAGGGCCCAGGGCTTAGCACTTATTTTAAAACTCTTATAGCTAGTCCAAGTGTGTGCCCAGACTTGAGACCCCATTGATTAGTGGGTGAGAATTAAGATACCATTGTTTTAAAGAGAAATGAAAACTTGAAGACAATTTCTAACAAAAAAAGAGAATACTTTTAATTTTTATGTTTTTTTCTTATGCTTTTCAGTATTCTCATTCAAAACTAACAAAACAAAATTATTTCAGATCATCACTTCTATTTAATTGATCAACTTTGTTTTTATAAAAGTAATTCCCTTTTCCATCATTTATTTTATCAGTTTATTTAATAGTATTTAATCAACTTATACAACTACAATAACAAGTCTAACTAGAATAGATTTATTGATTCAAACAAACACAACTGACTCTTGGTACACATATTGCTCAATTACTGAGAGCGAATAGTATGAAGCTATGCAAGCGAGTAGCCCGTAAGCCTTGACAGTGAGCGTGAGCCCATCAACTGGCCCAGGGGGCAGGAGAGCAGCAGCTAACCTGGTGAGCCAGTTCACTGTAGTTAAGAGAGCTTACAGTAATTCATAGCTTCCCAACTTCTCAATGTGCTTGTTCAATAATGTCATTTTTAGTATAATCATTTCATTGTAATCTCTAATGTACATGTAATAGTTGTATGTATTTTGGGAGACCGTGTAGTTTTTCCAAACAGGTATATAATGTGGATGGAGCAAGTCAAGAGAAAAACAACCACCATCTCCAACATTTATCATTACTTTGTGTGGTGCACATTCAACGTCTACTCTTCTGGTTATTTTTAAGTATACATTGAATTGTCACCAACTTTCTTCACTCTAATGTGCAATAATGTTCTATAACCCAGCCTATTCTTTATGTGCACTCTTATATCTGTTGAGTGTGACTATTTTAATCAAAGAATTCTAGAGGAGGTTTCTTAGATCAAAGAGGACTATGTCCACTTTGCTTATTAAAACGAAACAAAACAAAAACTGATCACAGGAAAGCTAAATGAAACGGTCTGAGCCAAACAGGAGCCACAAAGTCCTTCTTTCAAAACTTACCTTTATATTCTCTTCTGGGCTTTTATAATGTGTTAAGGAAAGGGAGAAAGTTAACCTTCTGAATAACCTTAAATATCAATATAGATATCTTGTGGGAATTCAGTAGACTCCTGAATATAAGAAGAAATTATAAATAATGTAATTGGAGACTGGCAGGTGGCATAGTGGTTAAGGTTCTGGACTTGCACATAGATGACTCTGGTTTGAGTCCCAAACCTGGCAGCTTGGTTTCTCACTTTTTCTCTCTCTCGTCAAATTTTAAAAAGAAAAATAAATAAATAAATATTTTTAAAAATAAATAAGTAAATAAATAATGTAATTGTCAGAGGAATGCATGCATTCGGAATCCATAGGTTTTAGATAGTTAAATCTGTGGCTACCTTAGAGTATCTTCTCTATGAGAGCACATAGGTACACACACATACATACACATGTGCACTCACATACACTCACAATTCTGTCCTTAGAAAAGAAATTAAAATCACAGGCCCAGCCATGATGATGCAGTGGTAGCATGACACTTTACAGTGTTGAAACCTTGGAAGACAGGGGTTCGGTTTCTAGGTAACCAAACATAGGATTCTGACTGTCTGGACAGAGGATTACGGTGTGAGACCTCTCTCTCACTCTTTCATGAAATAAGTGAATAAGCAAAACTTTATTAAAAAATGAAATTATAATACATGCTGAGAAGAGATGTGAAGTACTCTACATCTAGATAAAGGAAATAAATATGTTATTTCATATACTTTCCAATAATATTGACAGAAGACCAATGCGGTGTCACAGAGAGAGAAAGGCCATAATTAATAAACGTGTATGCTGAGAAGTAAAGAGACTTTGAGGCTATCACTTGGCCAGTGGAAGACTTCATTTTTTCAACGTGGAAAGATTTTGCTCCCTGAAGTAGGATGCTTCATGGCCTCACAGCTACTTTCTTCCTTCCTCTGAGCACTCATACCTGCAACAGGACTTCAAGGATCCTCTTGCCCTCAGCACTTCAAAGATTGTAGAGTGTTCTCATTTCCATTGCTCATAAACTGCTGGGAGGTGTGGGCAGCTGAGTTCCAGTGTCTACTCTAACCTAATGCTAATGGGGCGGGGGGAGAGCAAGACTCCTCATGTGTGATCCTTGACCATTTCAAATTGCTAGAACAGAACTATGCTCTGTGACATGGGAAAGCTGACTTCTTTGAAACAAAGTGTACCTTGAGGTCCCTTCCTGGATTAAGTGTGAATTTATTTACAGAAGAAAAAAGAGGCAAATTTTGCATAATTGTCATCATTAATATCCATACTGCTAAATCTAATGGATTTTTTTTAACCTCCCAACAACCTTCAACAGTGTTGATCTTTAGTAACTGTTGGTTTTTTTGGTTTTGTTTTTTCTTGAAGAGGGGAAGCTTTAAAGATACAATGTCTTTTGTTTAGCTCCTAACTCTCTGCCTGGTATCCTGTTTTTAGCAGGCTCTAATCTGTGCTTAGACATGAGATGTTGAAGTTCTTCAAAGTAGATCTGCCTCCTAACCTCATGCTACACTCTCCTGCTGGAGAATCACACTCTTATTCACATCCATAGCTTCAATGATTCTCCCAAAGACTACTAACAAATTAAAATCTTTAAGACAGATTTATCTACTGAGCTTTAGATAAAACTATCCAAATTTCTATATATCTATTTGTTTAGATGTCTTATAGATACCATAAATTCAATATGTGCATGGACAAACTCTTGAATTATTACTCTCCTGTCCTAAAACTAAATGTCTTGTAATATTTTCTACTCTAGGTAAATTGCCAATGTCTAACTTCTCAGGCAAACCTAGAACTAAGAATCATACTTGACAGTTCTTATAACTTACCTGTAACATGCCATATGTATTCTACTTGCTGAATATCTCAGGTTTATCCACTTCTACCTCCGACACCTTGTTCTAAATTTCCATTGCCTTTCTTGAGCCACTGTAATGGCATCATGAATTGTCTACCCATAGCCTTCCTGACCACCATGCCTTTCTAAATTGACTGACACAAAAGCCAGAATTCCCTTCTTTTTTTCAAAATTCAGACCTAATTTTGTCACATTACTCCTGCTAAAGACCCATCAAAGACTTTCCACTGCTTTTAAAATGAAAACGAAAATCCTTCAAGGACTCCATTAGCCCCTTCATAGCCTATCACATATGTACCTCTTTGGCCACATCTTCCAAACTCTCGTTTCTATTTATTTCAAACACACTGACCTACTTTCAGTTCCAGGAAAGTCCCATGCTGTCTCCGTTTTGAACATTTTCGTACTTGATGGCCTTTGTTTTGAACGATTTTCCTTTCTTTCACTCATTACCATTCCTAACCTTTCTAGTGACATCAGTTTTCTTCATTATATGCTTTCTCTTTAATAGCAGTAATGCAGCAACTATTCTATTGGCATTAGTGTGTTTGATAAAATTCTGTCTGTCCCCACAAGTTTATTAACTCCATAAGCACAGGACCTGGGTCAGATCTGTCTTAATTCACTATCCTCAGAACCTAATAGAGAACTAGGAATATCAAAAGTGCTCCATAAACATTTGAGAAACAAATGAACAAAATTTTCCCAGTTCCATTTTTTTTAGTTCTGTGAACTTAATAGCAATATTAGGTTGGGAAATGACAGCTCATTTGGAGCTGAAGAGGACCTTTCAGAAGGAATATCTCTCGACAACATATTTGGAGTAGCCAAAATGGATGCTATAACTCCAGGAAATAAATGAGAATCCTTCACACACTTTTTCTCCTGAATTCAGACTTGTCACTTGGAATCCATGCTGTGCACTGTCTTTTTCTCCCTTTTCTTTTGTTTCAGATACTCTGTTAGAATTAAAGGGCCATTGTCAGCTAGGACAAAAACAATCAGGATCCGAATGTGTTTGTATGTCTCCAGAAGAAGATTGTAGGTAAGAAATCATTTAAGGCCTATGTTTGGAAACAGTAAAAAAAAAAAAAAAAAAAAAAAGATAACCAGCTTGATGGAAAAGCTGATTTTCTTGAAGCACAACATGAAACATATTACTTTTTCATATAACTCATATCCCTGTGCTCTGTTGAATTCCTCCTTCCTCAGTGGGTAGTAAGCTTTCTTAATTATCTGAAAGCCTAGTTCTGTAAGTTTCCATAGTTTTCATCTGTTAAAGCAGTCCGATTTTATTATGAAGACTTAATTCCTATCCACCTACAAACTCAAACTCAATTATATCAAAGACTTCCTTTTCCCCAATAAGTATAGGGGAGGTGGTGAAGTTGTAACTCTAAATAGTTTGCAATACTTCTTACCTCTAACAGGACTAGGCCATCTACCCAGAGAGAGTAAGCATACCCAGGGTATGACTTAAAAGCTCATGTTCTGAATCACAATGCAAACACACTTGAAAAGCTACATAATAATATAAGATTCTATATGGCAGGTCAGCATTAATTACAGTGTTTTAGAGTCAAGTGGAGTTAAGGTCAACCATGGGCTAGGTTGATCATGCAAGCATCAACAAATAGGCAAAAACTGAGTGGATGCAGGCAGAGAGAAGAAACAATGAACGCTGACTGATGGAGGTGCAGAGAACAGCAAAGGATGAATAAGCATAGTTTAAAAAAGGACTAGTACAACAGTCAGATGAGAAAGAGAAATTTAGAAGAATGAGAAAAATAGTACTAGAAAGCTGAGGGGAAGATCTTGCTTACCAGAATTTAAGAATTCAGATTTTAATTTGAAGGCAATTGGGAATAATACCAAGGTTAAGATAAAATTTCGGCAAGATGAATCCCAGGAAGCATGTAAGATGAAATGAGAAACTGACAGTGAGAACATTGGAAAGAAAAAAAGGCAGAAAAAAGAAAACTGGGTATCAGCTTAGCATATTAAATTGCTTGGTTACATGTTATTTCTTTTGTTCTGATCTCACTATATAAATGTTCACTTTCCTTTCGTGGGCAGCCAATATTCAGAAGATCTCTGTGTGTTTGATACAAACTCCAACGATTACTTTACTTCATCCGCTTGTAAGCTCTTGGCTGAGAATTGCTTAAATAATCAGCAACTCCATTTTCTACATGTTGGTTCCTGCCAAGATGGTCCACAGTTAGAATGGGGTCTTGAAAGGACAAAACTTTCATCCAACAGCACAAAGAAAGAATCCTGTGGCTACGATACCTGCTACGACTGGGAGAAATGTTCAGGTAAGCTCCACAGATCACTGCACACCAGACACACGCTCAGCAGTCGTCATCTCATTTGCATTTATGCATCATCGTTCTTAAAAATAACCTTTCCTGGGACCAGCAGATGGTGTAATGGGTACATCGCTGGACTCCCACGTAGTCGAGTCCTGGACCTGGTGACTTAATACTCATGCCAGGCAAATGAGCATGCATGCCCAAAATCTCGAGAGGAGAATGGAGGAGAAGAGACTGCGGCATGACCATCATCCCCGGGGGGTGATTTCTTGTTTACTGTCTCTGTCTCTCTGCCGAGCACACACACCCTATAGCAAAATTCTTCCTTAAAAAAAATTTTTTGGAGGAACCAGCAGTTAGCATAATGGCTATGTCCCTGAACTCCCACGTAGGCGAACACGGTTCGCGTCCTGCACCCGGTGGCTTAAAACTCACACCGGGCACATGTGCGTGTGTGCCCAAGATCCCGAGAGGAGAATGGAGAAGGGATTGCGGCATGACCATTCTCCCTGGGGGGTGATTTCTCGCTTTCTGTCTCTATGTCTCTCTCTGTCTGTCTGGCGAGCGCACGCGCCCTATAGCGAAACCTCTCAAAAAAAAAAGTAAAAAACAATTTTTTAAATATTTTTTTCCTTAATCAAGAATCATTCATTTTCATTGTAAAAAAAATTTATAAAAGGATTTAAACAGAAATGAAAAACATAACATCCACAATTAGATCTACTTTAATCATTTTGGTGTTGATCCTTACAGACTCTTTTCTATGCATCTGTAATCAATATACTCTTCAGTCATAGTAAGAACACCCGTCCTGATCTCATGCCTCCCCTCCCCCAGCCTTGTATTGCCTTTATCAGAAGTGTCTAAGTTTTCTTCTGGTGATTGGGACCATTTGGAACCAACAGTGCTGCCGAGGTGGGACTGAGTTCCATGTGGGTACCATTGGTCAGAAGCTTCTTTCTTAATTTTTTTAAAGTTGTCTTCCAGTGCCTGGGATGACCCAAGGCTGGCAGTGTTATTCATGACTGCCCCATCAGGTGGAGTCCAACATGTACCCAGGTGTTCTTTCTCCCCTGTAGAACACTCTTCAACTTTTTACTTTTTCTCTTCCTCACCATGGGAGTCAATTAGATGCTCTAGGGAGCTATTGGACTCACATCTTGGATCTCTGTCCCAGACCTAAGTCCCTTGTTGCCAGAAATCAGCCTGATGATCAGAATGCCCCACTGGCCAGCAGGGTTTTCTTTCTCAAGATGGCTTGGGATTAAAGTGTCAGTTTGGTGCTGCTGATTCTCAACTTTCTAATGACCTCTAATCATTTATATAGACATACACCCCATAAAAAAATCTTTGCCCTGGGGCCTCATATATCTCAGTATGGCCCTACATATAATGTACATTTTTTAAAAAATAAGATTATACTCTGCATGTTACTTATGTACTGGTGTTTTTCACTTGACGTATCATGAAGTTATTTCCATGGCATCCTATATTATTTAGCAACATAAATTTTTAATGTTTGTAAAAGTCTATATGCATATTCTGTGGTTTATTTAACCAAATTCTGGTTAGTTGTCTAAATTTTTCCCATATTTTGGTATTGTAAATAGTGTTGGAATAGGTAAAACCATCAAGGATAAATCTGTGACCTAAGATTTTCTTAGGATCTATCTTAGAAAGTGAAATGTCTGGGTAAACAGTATTTTTAAAACTAAAACTTTGCTGATACAATGTACCAACTTATCAGCCAACTAAATGTGGCTGTTGCCTTCTTCTCTGAACAAAATGAGAAGCAGAGGCTAGAGGAGAAGGGAGTTTATTTCTGTAACTAGTTACAGGGAGACAGCAAATACTGCCAAACGAATTCAAAAAGCTCAGCATATGTTCAGTTTTTATACATACAAGATAGAACCACATCTAAATCATTCCTCACACCAATCAAAGTCAATTGCTTTCCTCTGGGCAATTATCTTGATTCCTGTTTTTCTTCAAATACCCATTGCTGGTTTCTCATCTGACCATTCCTCAAACAGATCTCCCTATAACGCAGCACTCGGTAGGATTGTTGTCATTAGAGGCCTTTCTTAATTTCCAAATGGCTACAGTCCTGCTAAACCTCAAGCTGCCCTGCTTTAAATTTGCTTTCCAGAAATAGTTTTTCTGGGATCAGCAATTAGCGTAATGGCTATGTCGCTGGGCTCCCATGTAGTCCACCACAGTTCAAATCCAGGTCCAGTGACTTAAACTCATACTAGGCACATGTGCATGCATGCCCAAGATTCTGAGAGGAGAAGGGATTGTGGTGTGGCCATCCCCCCTGGGAGGTGATTTCTTGCCTGGTAGGTGATTTCTCACTTTCCGTCTTTCTGGCAACCACATGCACCCTATAGCAAAAAAATAAATAAATAAAGGAAAGAAAGAAAGAAATGGTTTTATTCTAGTGTATAGCATATGTTAGACTGACCCTACATTCTCAAACCCTGGACTTATTACTCCTGTATATCACTGCCCACTTTCATGCTTAAGAAGTGGCATTAGACTCACTTCATAAGTAGATTGTTTATTGACATTACATTTATGGAAGCAGGAACTTCAGATCAGTACATTTGCTCTAAGATGAAGTTACCCTGAAACTTCCCAACAAAGCTTGGTATCATATACAAAGATGGGCTGGAGATTAGGATTTCACAAGACCCAGGCAGCTAGATTGCCCCTCGTGACACATTTTCAAAAGAGTATCCTAAATCAGGATAAAAAGTATGCATTAGAAACTTGTTGAACTGTTCTATACAACTTTTTCCAAAATCACCTTGCTTTCACAAAAAGAGACAAGAGCATGCAGGTTCCCTTGGCTCCTCTTTCGCTTTCTGGTGCAGGGTTCTTTATCTCAGTCCTGAAAAGAGAAGAGAACTTATTTCCCAACTCCAGGTCCTTCCTAATCAACTTAAAGTTGACTCTCAAGATTCAGTTTATTCCAGCAGTCACAAGATTGAACAGTGACAGAAAGCAGACCTGGGTGTCACAATGTTTATTTCTGTAACTAGTTACAGGGAGACAGCAAATACTGCCAAACGAATTCAAAAAGCTCAGCATATGTTCAGTTTTTATACATACAAGATAGAACCACATCTAAATCATTCCTCACACCAATCAAAGTCAATTGCTTTCCTCTGGGCAATTATCTTGATTCCTGTTTTTCTTCAAATACCCATTGCTGGTTTCTCATCTGACCATTCCTCAAACAGATCTCCCTATAACGCAGCACTCGGTAGGATTGTTGTCATTAGAGGCCTTTCTTAATTTCCAAATGGCTACAGTCCTGCTAAACCTCAAGCTGCCCTGCTTTAAATTTGCTTTCCAGAAATAGTTTTTCTGGGATCAGCAATTAGCGTAATGGCTATGTCGCTGGGCTCCCATGTAGTCCACCACAGTTCAAATCCAGGTCCAGTGACTTAAACTCATACTAGGCACATGTGCATGCATGCCCAAGATTCTGAGAGGAGAAGGGATTGTGGTGTGGCCATCCCCCCTGGGAGGTGATTTCTTGCCTGGTAGGTGATTTCTCACTTTCCGTCTTTCTGGCAACCACATGCACCCTATAGCAAAAAAATAAATAAATAAAGGAAAGAAAGAAAGAAATGGTTTTATTCTAGTGTATAGCATATGTTAGACTGACCCTACATTCTCAAACCCTGGACTTATTACTCCTGTATATCACTGCCCACTTTCATGCTTAAGAAGTGGCATTAGACTCACTTCATAAGTAGATTGTTTATTGACATTACATTTATGGAAGCAGGAACTTCAGATCAGTACATTTGCTCTAAGATGAAGTTACCCTGAAACTTCCCAACAAAGCTTGGTATCATATACAAAGATGGGCTGGAGATTAGGATTTCACAAGACCCAGGCAGCTAGATTGCCCCTCGTGACACATTTTCAAAAGAGTATCCTAAATCAGGATAAAAAGTATGCATTAGAAACTTGTTGAACTGTTCTATACAACTTTTTCCAAAATCACCTTGCTTTCACAAAAAGAGACAAGAGCATGCAGGTTCCCTTGGCTCCTCTTTCGCTTTCTGGTGCAGGGTTCTTTATCTCAGTCCTGAAAAGAGAAGAGAACTTATTTCCCAACTCCAGGTCCTTCCTAATCAACTTAAAGTTGACTCTCAAGATTCAGTTTATTCCAGCAGTCACAAGATTGAACAGTGACAGAAAGCAGACCTGGGTGTCACAATGAGCCAGTCAAGTGGTGGCCAATACACCACATGCACCCTATAGCAAAAAAATAAATAAATAAAGGAAAGAAAGAAAGAAATGGTTTTATTCTAGTGTATAGCATATGTTAGACTGACCCTACATTCTCAAACCCTGGACTTATTACTCCTGTATATCACTGCCCACTTTCATGCTTAAGAAGTGGCATTAGACTCACTTCATAAGTAGATTGTTTATTGACATTACATTTATGGAAGCAGGAACTTCAGATCAGTACATTTGCTCTAAGATGAAGTTACCCTGAAACTTCCCAACAAAGCTTGGTATCATATACAAAGATGGGCTGGAGATTAGGATTTCACAAGACCCAGGCAGCTAGATTGCCCCTCGTGACACATTTTCAAAAGAGTATCCTAAATCAGGATAAAAAGTATGCATTAGAAACTTGTTGAACTGTTCTATACAACTTTTTCCAAAATCACCTTGCTTTCACAAAAAGAGACAAGAGCATGCAGGTTCCCTTGGCTCCTCTTTCGCTTTCTGGTGCAGGGTTCTTTATCTCAGTCCTGAAAAGAGAAGAGAACTTATTTCCCAACTCCAGGTCCTTCCTAATCAACTTAAAGTTGACTCTCAAGATTCAGTTTATTCCAGCAGTCACAAGATTGAACAGTGACAGAAAGCAGACCTGGGTGTCACAATGAGCCAGTCAAGTGGTGGCCAATACCTGGCGCTCCTAACCTTTGCCCCATATCTGAACAAGGCAATCCCACATAGGGGAAGCACGCCAAGGCCTGATCCATACATTGCACAATTCTCATCATCTTCAATCATCTTGGAGAAAAAAAATTCTACTCTTTTTTTTTTTTTTTTGGTGGGGGGGGGAAGATTGGAGGAATAGTATTATCCAACTGACATTGTGCTCAGAAACAAAAAGAGCTGAAAGTGTTATATGATAGCATTTTATATTATAATCCTTTTTCTTTGATCAATCTAGTATAAGTAGCTAATTGTCAAAAATAACTACAGAAAATTAAGTGAATTTGGACAGCAGGGAGGATGAAAAATGGTCACTGCCTGAACTACTGTAGGTAGATGAGGTATTAGGGACTGCAGTTAGAGGCTTTCATTCCTCCTTATTTAGCATGGAGTAAAGGTCTTCATGGAACTCTTCTACTGCAACATTTTTTTTTTTTTTGCTATTTTCCACAAAGTACTTTTTTTGAAATCTAAGTAAAAAATAATAAGTAGCTTACAATTTCATCAAAATATCTGTCATTCCTATTACCCCCTTTGCTATATATATATATATATATATATATATATATATATATATAGTACCTAAATCAGGTAGGTACTAATCAGCAGGATGTCTAGGGGTAATCAAACTAACACATGTCTTAACAAGAGACTTATTTAAGTAATTTCAAATATGTTTTTGGTCCTACACACAATCAGAAAACTCAAAGCATTTTTTTCCCTAGAGAAGATCTGCCTCTGCCAGCCTTCTTCAATTGGTGAGAAAAAAAATTGATGTCACAAAGAATCCTGTTAAGAGTAGTACCAGAGAGTAGCGTCTATGTACAAACTGTGGCATTAATTAAGAAAGAGAAAGCTAAACGTGTATTTTATACCCAACTCACCCATGGCAAGTTGGGATTGTGGTAAATTTTGACTTATATTGCATGCCTTGATTAAGCTTTGTTTTTCAGTACATTGTCTCTTTGCTACTGTTTTCTCTCTGTAAATAAAATGAAAAAGAAAAGGTTTAAAATAGAATACAAGGTAACATAAAGTTCGCTTTTCAAAAATAAGAACAGGAATGGCTTCCCCAAGGAGCCTGTTTTTATGGATATTAAATATTTTGTCTGAACTTCAAAAATACCTACCATCAACCAGAAGGAAAGGTTGTTTACTCAGCAAAGAACCATTTAGCATCTAACATGTGGAAGTCACTGCGTAAGGCTTGGCAAGGAGTCTGATAAAGGATCCTTTGTACTCAAAGTGCTCATAGTGGTTAGAAGTGTTACACTACACAGTAATTTCATGAATCACTTTAATGCAAGGCAGTATATGATAAGAGCCGTAAGAGCTGTAAATTCTGGCCTGGAAGTGTTTCATGAACATAGAAGCTGTAGAACTGTGTGTTGAAGGATGCATTAGTGGAGATGGGGAAATGGCCTTTGATACTATAGTGGTCTAGAAATGATCAGGCTAAGAGCATTTAAGCCATAATCATACTAAATGGTGACCATGGCCATTCAAAAGTCTAGGGAACTTATTTCTCACCAGAGGAGGAACAGTGCCCAGCCCTTCACTAATCCACATTTCTTGCAACAATGGACAAGACTTTCCACAACCACAATCCTTCTGGAGCTGGTTGACAAAGGGTTTTGAAAGAAACTTCTTGCTTTTTAATGTCACACTTCCTATAAGATGCCTATGCATAGGTTGCATATGAGAATCTCCTCATTGCCATTCCCCTATTTTCTGCCATGAATGGAGACTGGGAAAGTCCTGTTCTCTGCCTGTGAGAAGCTACTCAGTGACATCATCACTCAGACTAAGATATTTTGACAACATGAGCCATCCCAGTTCCATCAAATACATTTATTTTTGTCTATTTATAGCTGCACTTAAACTTCATAATTCCAAATCAATTTATTTCACAGAATTAATTGAGCACCTTGTTAAGACTAAGTACGATATATGGATGGATGAGCCACAGTTACTTCTCTCAAACAAATCACTTACAATTGTGTTGGGGGAAAATACACATGAAAACCTAATCAACAAGAAAGTGGAAAATGTCAGTTTACTGACAATTTATACCATTAGGCCTTAGTTAAAGAAAAGATCACAGTGAGGGTAGGTGTGACATGTTTCTTGAGGAGGTAAGACATAGAAGCTGGACATGTAGGGAGTTAGGAAACACTACTTCAGTCTGGGGGGAAAAAAGCAACTAGCATGGAAGTAAAACTGGAACGACCTTTGGAGTCTCGGGAAAACAAGAAGGGTTAATCCACTTGGAATGGAGAAAGCAGAAATGATAATATTGTATATGAAAGTTGAGGCCAACTGTGGAGAACTTCAAAAACTCTGATTAAAACAGTACACATATAAATATGCCTAGATATCCCTTTACACAAAATTGATTTAACACGTGGGGTCTTTGAAAAGTTCAAGGAAAATGCATGTTATAAAAAATCTATGTATGGATTTCAAAATAAACTCATACTAAAATTCCTTTTTCCCACAAACTTTTTGAAGTCCTCTGTAAATTTATCCTTAAATGATTGTTTTAAAGCTATCTCATGAACACTTCATTTATATAAATTAGTAAGTAACAGTGATTCCAAAATCAGGCCTATACAAGAATGACCCAGTTTAAATTCTTATTAAAAATACAGATCCCCAAGACCAGCAGTTGGCATAATGGCTATGTCACTGGACTCTCATGTGGTCGACCGCAGTTCGAGTTCTGGACCCGGTGGCTTAAACTCATTCCAGGCACATGTGCGTGCATGCCGAAGATCCCAAGAGGAGAATGGAGGAGAAGGGATTGCTGCATGACCATCCCCCCCAGGGAGAGGCGGGGGGAGGTGGTTTCTTGCTTTCTGTCTCTCTGTCTTTCTGGCAAGTGCACATGCCCTATAACAAAAACTTATACAAAAAAAAAAAATTACAAATTCCCCAGGTGTAACCCAGAAATATTCTAGAAAGAAACAAATATTGTGTAGAGTTAATGAACTCAGGCCTGTAGGATATTTATAATTGAAAACCTGCCTCCACCATTTACTAATTGTACGACCATGGACAAATTGTTTAAACTTTCTGAGGTCAGTTTTCTAGACTGTATATTTTTTTAAGAGTTTTTTTGCTATAGAGCTCATGCATTCACTGGAGAGACTGACAGAAAGTGAGAAATCACCCCTCAGGGGGAATGCCTGTGTCACAATCCCTTCTCCTCCATTCTACTTTTGGAATTTGGGGACACACATATGCAATCCCTACGTGAATTTCTAGCCTCAAACCACGGGACTCAAACCATGGGCAGCCCTGTTGGAGTCCATTGACATAACCATTATGTCATCTGCTGGTCCCATAGACTAGAATTAGTGTGGTAGCATAGTTCATGTATCTGTTTTGAGGATTCAGTTAAATAAGGCATATAAATATCCTGACATACTGTGTGGTTTCGCAGTACATGATCGATAAATAATAACTATAACATACTTAGTACTAATGATTCAAAACCAGAAAGAACAGACTGAAGACATTGTGGAAATAAATTGACAGGACTAGTAACAGATTGGACATGGGTGATGAGCCAGTGGAATGTACCAGAGATGTCTCAAATTTTGATCAGATATGGGCCTTGAGACAGGGTCAGAGATAGCACAAATTACGGTTCATGTTGATTCATTCGTTCACTTTGCTCCCTTACATCTAAGTCTTTCCGTTCAACCATAGCTGGGTCTTATGGTCATCCTATTTATTTAAGCTTGTTCATTGCCATGAAGGAGCTTGCCACGTTGGGGGAAGAGTTAAATAAAACCAAAACCTGTAATACTGTAGTGAGTCTCACTCTCTCTCTCATTGCAGCCTCTTCTTCCAAATGTATCTGCCTATTGCCCTCCCAGTGCCCCAAAGGTGGGAACCAGCTGTACTGTGTCACAATAGGATCATCAGCAAGTAAGAAAACGGTGAACATCTGTGAAGTGGGAGCTATAAAATGTGCGAAGAGGAACGTGGAAATACTGCATGCTGGGAGGTGTTTGGCCTAGCACAATTACTGACAGATTTACTAACCAAAAAGTCATCTCCACAAAGGGGCATTCTTGTATGAGCATCAAACTGGCATGCCCAGAACTATTGACAGAATGTTTCGTGCTAGTTTGATACCATGCTTTTCCCTGACACTTCTAGTGTTCCCGATCCAGTTTTAGTCCTTGAGACCTTATAGCATACTCCCAGGAAATAATTTCCACCTCAAACTAGCAAATTCTCCTGCTTTTATTACATAAAAATAATGGACCTTCTGGGGACCTTATGCAACCTATGGTATTGAACATCCTCACAATCACAAATAAGAACAAAAACTGTAGTTTTCTTTAATGAATCAATAAACATAGACAAAATAGAACCTATGAAACACATTAATTTTTAGAATTGTTTGTTTAACCTTTTTTATTATTTTTTAAAATTTGATCAGAGAGAGGGAAAGTGAAAAAGACAGCCACCAGGTACGAGACCCAGACCACGGTCAACCATGTGAGAGTCTGGCGCCTTAACCACCATGCCACCTGCCAGCCCCTAAAGCAACATTCTTGAAACTCAAGCTTTATGCATACGTTCAACAAATAATTTCTGAATACCTACAATGTGCGACATGCTGTTCAAGCTCCAGGGAAATCAGCAGTGAATAAATAGACAAAAATCTTGACTTTATGAGGGTCACATTTCTGCCGAGTAGCACACAATAATAAAGCAAGCATGCAAAGTACGCTTGATGGTTATGGTTGCTTTAGAGAAAATAAATCAGGGAAGGGCAAGTCCCATCCTTAAGTCTCATTTTATGCAATGACATACCTGGTAGTAATAAACACCACTGTCTTAGAGGTGATTGGACGCAAGTGGAAATTATCTTGCTTAAAGTAGTTAAGAATAAACTTCTGGAATTCCATTCTCTGAGAAAGGATTTAACAGATTCTCTTTACCTCGGCTAAAGTACATCGCAAAAGCTTTAAGCTCAAGCATGTCATGGATGGAAAACTGTCTTAAAATTTTGAAGGAATAATTTCTGAAGTTATATCTTTTTATGACTCCATGCAAAGTAGTTAGCTATTTCTTAAAGAGGCTAAAGTGTCATCTTGGATGGGAAAAGAAAAGCATCTTTAGAACAACGTTCCCGCATGTTAGGGTACATCAGAATCATCTAGAGGATGTGTAAAAACAGATGACCCAGGGCGCACCCCCAGTTCCTGATTCAGTAGACCCGGGTGGGGGCTGACAAGTCCTATTTCTAACAACTTTCCAGATGGTACTGATGATGATCATCAGTGGATCACATTTTGCGAACACCTAGCATAGAGATGGTGCATAGAGACCTAGCAAAGCCTGGTCTCAAAACCTTAGCCAGCCAAACTCATAGCAGGTGAGTGGAATCGAACTCTCTTCCTCCAAAACTCACTGGGATTCCCACCTCAAGGAAGAAGGCCATGGGCCATAGTCACCTGCCATCACCTTCTTTCTAGATCTTATACATTAAATATGGATTCTTCATCTCATTAATCAGAAGATATTGGCAAAATCTAAAATATCTAATATCAAAGAAGAAGAATGAGGAAAAAATAATCTAGAAACAGAAAACATTTTGTTGGTGTAACAGAAATGGAGTGGGACTTTTTCTTCACCCAGGAGTCAGTTACCCATCTTGTTCCCAGTTGTACTACCCATACCTTCTCACTATGCAGTGATACAGGTCATTCTTATAAGCATTCTGCCTTCAGTTCTCTCTAGACAACAAATGGTTTTAGCTCACTTATGGGGTACCTACCTGACCTGGCATGGATCAGCACCATGGATCTCCTCTAGAAACCTCCTAACTAATGGCAGCTCTAAGATCCCACAGCATCAAGCAATTCTTATAGGTATCACCATGCCTCCAGGAATTTTTTTCCCTAGGTTTTGGTTGCCTGGCTTCAATGTATCCTAGCATCTTCCTGCTTCTCACCAGGGAAAGCAAAAGGCCTTGATAGTAAAATAGGACTGCCATTATGAACACTGTATTCATGTGGCCACAGATTCCCATGGCTCCTTTCCTTCCCTCCCCAAATACTACCCCTTTTCTTTATTTTGCAAAAGGTCATGTTCACTCACCAGAGAGATACAGAGAGGAGGGAGAAAGTAGCCCCCAACAGTTCATAGTCATGCTGCAAGCCATTGTCCTTCATTTCTCCATCCTGGCCGGTTTGGGGGCACACATGCACACATACATGCTTGGCATGTTTGTCAAACTTCCAGAGAAAGGATTTGAATTTTGTGGTCAGTTATGTTGGGTCAGTCTCCCTCAACCACAAGGCCACAGATTGGCTTCCTAGTCCCATTTTATAGCCTGGAAAATTGTGGAGTTGGTGTGATAGTTGAGTGGAGCAGAGCCTTTTCCCATCTGATTCCTAAGGTACAGAGGAGTGGAAGACTAGGTGTCTCCTGTGGATCCACAGAAAGGAGCACAGAGAAGAGGAAAGAGAAGTACTGACACTGGGAACGAGGAAGAAGAGGGCATGCAAATCAGATCCAAGATCTGAGACTTAAACTACACCAGCATTTTAAAGCAGAAACTGACCTAGAAATCTATGTGATCTGCTCCAGACTTGATTAAAGAAAAAGGAAGACAGACTGTGACAGAACATGGTGAATGCTGGGATCACCATGAAGAGTTCCCAAACTGGGTGGCCTAAAATAACAGAAACTTACTGTTTCATGGTTCTAGAGGCTTGAAATCTAAAAGCCAACAGCAGGGCCATGTTCCCTCTGAAACCTGTAGGAGAGAATCTTTCCTGTCAAACCGTTAGCAGGGCCATGTTTCCTCTGAAACCTGTAGGAGAGAATCTTTCCTGACTCTTCCAGCTTCTAGTGCTTGCCAGCAATCCTTGGCACTCCTTGGCTTGGATCTGCACCACTCCAGCTTCTGCCTCCATCCCCCAAAGGTCATCTTCAGCATCTTCCTTCTGGGAATGTCTATGCAAACTTCCATTGTCTTAATAGGACATTAATCATGTTGGATTAGGCCCACTCTAATGACCTTGTCTTAACTTGATTATATCTGCAGAGACCTTAATTTTGAATAATAAGCTCACATTCACACGTACCAAGGACTAGGAATATTCCTTTCTGGCAGACATAATTCAATCCACAATACCCTGATTGGGGAAAAAAATTTCTTTTAGCCCATGGTATAATCAAAGGGTTATACCATCTCTAACATCCATATTTTGATTAAAATCAGTCAAGCTTGCTTTAAAGTAGTTTCTTCTTTCACTTGTGGCAATTTTCCCTTTTCCCAGTGATTAGTTGATATTTTTACCACTTCAGCTACCTTTGTTTCAAAGAATTTTTTGAGTGCACTAATCCATTAGAGTTTGCATTTAGCTAATTTGCATACCATTTACCAGTTAAAATTTTCACACTCTGACATTAATATTAATATAGCAATTTAATATAATAAGTGCTAAGAGCTAGTGATAAACTTATGATCATGAAGCAGAGAGAAAAACTGAAACATATTAAATATCTGGAATTTGGACTTAGCATCTTCAACTCTACCTTAGAAGATTAAATTCTAGATTAAAGGTAAAAAGCTTTATCTTTTTAGGTTAATAGAAATGAATTCTAAGTATCCATTCTTGTGCTTAAATAACTGAAAATAAATTAGGGTCTTTTTAAAAATATGTCTTAATTTATTTTGTTTATTTCTGCAATGTAATGACAAAATAAGTGAGACTCTACCCCCTGTTTAAAGAACTTATGAACAGACATATTTCAGATGTCTGAAAAGCAGAGACAAGCACAACTCAAAGACTATGATTTTAAAATTCTAGTCCTCCAATGAAGTGACATTCGAGCTTAACTAAAGATTTCTTCTTTTGGCGGTCTTCAGTAAAACTCACTAAATTTTAGGATATATTATTTTTTCCCCTTTCAACAAAAGCCTTCAACTCCCACATCAACATTCCTTAGTTTTAAAGATTGAGTTCTTCCATTATTTCCAAAAGAGCACCCTCAAACTTAACCTAATTCACATTCCTTACTAAATTCTAATTCCAAGTAAAAGAATATGACAGAATATAATGTTTTTGGTTGCTGTTGGGAGCCAACTACTCTGCAGCTTGAATGATTGGATTCTAAATGCCTGGCTCTCTCTGAGGTCACCTTCATTTTTGTAGAATACATCATGAGTGGATTCGGTGAGGCATCCAACTTCTGACCAAATGGCCTGCAAAATTACAGTTGTATTCAGTCTGTTTTATGAGCATGAGACAGGCCACTGCCACCCAGTTTGTCTTCTTGACAAGTTCTAGCTGCACAGCTTCAGTTCCACCTGTCAAATGTCAGTTAGCAGAGGTGTGTGTCACCAATCAAAAGACTCTAAGAGACAGATGGTGCATTGAAAATCATGCTCACAAGATTTATATGGAAAGATGTGCATCACAACAGTATTTATAATTGCAAAGAATGACAGACCCTAAATGTTCAATAATAAATTATGGCCCCTTCACCTAATGGAAAAGTATGGGGCTACTGACAAGCACCTTCTAAAATAAGATTTTAGAGAATATAACAAAAAACGAAAGACCAGGACCACTTGTGGTGCAGGCAACAGAGTGCTGCTGCATGGTACTGGAGTCACGTAAGAGGCTCCATTTTAGCCCCCAGGTTGACCTGAACATAATAGGTACCTACATAGACCTGGGAGCCTAGCAGACTAACAAACTGGCAGGAGGATTATGGCATGAAAAGAGAATCTCTTTCTACATGTAAACATTTTTGAGAAGTGAAAAAATAGGCTACAAAATTATATGATTATAGCTATAAAAAAGGTATTTGTATATAAATGCTCTTAAAAACAGTGGTTGAACGGGACCAGCAGTTAGCGTAATGGCTATGACGCTGGACTCCCACATAGTCAACCGCGGTTCAAGTCCTGGACCCAGTGACTTAAACTCACGCAGGACGTGTGTGCGTGCGTGCCCAAGATCCCGAGAGGAGAATGGAGGAGAAGGAATTGTGGTGTGGCCATCCCCCCTGGGGGGTGATTTCTCACTTTCTATCTCTCTGTCTCTCTCTGTCTGTCTGGCGAGCATACGCGCCCTATAGCAAAAAACCTCTCCACAAAAAAAAAAATAAAATAAAATAAAAAATAAATAAATGGTTGGAGACCAGCCCAGCAACTCAACAGTAATGTGCTGCTCCAGAGAAGCTGGATCCACATGAAAGATCATGAGATCAGTTTCCTGATCAACCTGTACATACCTGACATGTGACTCATGATCCTGGCTGGCTAGGAAGGCTTGAGGATAGGATGATCCATTGTGTGAGACCCTATTGCGGGTCCCTCTCTTTCTCTCTCTCTCTCTGTCATGAAAAAAATAAACTT